AAAGAAGGTTTTTTAAAAAGGGGTAGACAAGGGGGTCTTTTTCTTAAGAAAAGTGAATCATAAGTAGATCATAAACACCCCAACCCGTAGCCTTCACCATGGCTTGTGACACAGTACCGAATGCGTCTTGATCTCTTAGTTGGATATGGAAATAAAGGCAAGACAAATTTTAAGTAAGGGTAATATAAGATGCCACTAGCAAAAACGCTTGAGGAAGGTTTCAGTAATAGGCATTGAAATAGAGAGTACAGGTAACTGATTGAGATTGCTGATGAAGTGTATCCATCCCACTAGAAAGGCGATGATCCCACATTCCCATTGTTCAGTCTGTAAAAGAAGATTTTACATGTTTAGTAAAACAAGTCTGTCAAGATCATTTTTCCATCAACACTAATAAACTGATAAGTGAAGCTGTATATACAATCCATTGTTATTATATTATTCGTGATCATTATATCGATTAACACTGTTTCAGTAATGCCAAAATCTTGGCTTTACATTGCGTATGTGATAGTGAAGCTCACAGGTCCCCCCCGGAAACTATGACAACAGCAGTGAGTAACAGACTGCTGAGGCGCATCATATTGTCGACGTTCAAGTATTCCTTCCTCAGCTGCAAGTACAAAGATAATCACCAATAAAAGTGTTAGTGGTTTCTACGTGGTAATACACTGCCTAGAGAAAGTGGTTACTGAATGGGAAATATACTACGAGAAAAATTGTTACGGAAATATATTACCCAAAAAAAATGATTAGTGAAATTGTAATATATCGCTTATAGAAAGATTACCAAGACGGATAACCGTATTTTTTAATATGCTGATATATAGCATTAATCCCTCGCTCCAGTGTCATTACTTTGATCAAACAAAATAAGTTTTTCTCCTTTTTTGCAAATTTAAAATTTTGAGGCATTATCTTCCAATAAATTTTTATCACTAAATATATTATTATTATTATTATTATTATTATTATTATTATTTTATTATTAAGATTCGCCGGTATTCTCCGGCCCCGGGGCCCTTTTTTAAGTGGTGGCCCGGCTTGGCTCCCTCTCTAAGGAGTGTCTGAGACTAAGTCTCCCATGGGAGGAGGCACAAAATACCCCTTCATCTTTGGGACCAACTGTCCCCAGGCCCGCCACATTTCGTGCCCTCACGGGGCTCGTAGGGAGAAGCTAGGCCTCTCTGGTCTGCCATCCCCCCCCAGGGGCTAATGGGAATGACAGTCTTGTGAGCTACAAGCTCGGGCTCAGGCACCTACCCTGCCGTAGAAGGGCTGGGCATGGTGTCGATCCAAATATATCAAATAATATATATCCTTTTATATAGTTTTGCAGTATTTTGGTTTAAGTTATAAAACATTTATTCAACAATATCAACTATACGAATTTCTCAAACACTGCTTCTTGTATTCTTATATGAAATCTTAACGTTCAATTTTTAAAAGAAAAAAAAAATGGTTTCTAGTTTCTCACCTTTTATATTATCAATATGCCTTTCAGTTTTTTATCCCCATTATTAATGATCTCCTTATACGCCATCTTCGTAATCTGGCAATAAAACAGCTTAGTTACTAATCAAATAATAAAGCCCAGTAATGCTATGGTTAGGTTAGGTCAAATTCGTCAGGAAACAGGACAAGTGTTTCCTGACGCGAGTCTTAGCCATGTGTTGACCCGTCACTAGAGCTTTAGGACATCTGACCGAGGCCTTCCGCTGGTTTACTGTCCAAACACTTTAAAAAATAAGATTATTATTAATCTAATGATAATACTATGGTGTTAGAGAAACTTACTCTGTATATACAGTTGCATTCCCATAACAGAAGAATGATGAAAGTTATTATAAGTAGAACTAGTGAACTGCCATTTTCTGGCAGCGTTTTATTACATTTCATTAGCTTCATTATTGTTGAATTATCTGGTAACCAGGTTAAGGTTTCTATATTGTCTTCTCCCCCATAATTTCCAATCGGAGCATCAGTTGTGAATGTCAGTTCTTCCAATGTTTGTGTTTCAGATAAACTGCAAAACTGTTCTCGTGTAATGTTGCATCGCTCCTCTATGTAGTTCCAGTTACTGCAAACATATTTCAATAAACAAAACAGAGACCAAGCCATACCTTATATTAAACATAAACTTTCTGTGAATTAAGGTAAAAGAAACTCATTCCTATAAACATATCACTGTGTAGAGGTTATCATTGTGTAGAGGTTATCATTGTGTAGTGGTTATCATTGTGTAGAGGTTATCATTGTGTAGAGGTTATCATTGTGTAGAGGTTATCATTGTGTAGTGGTTCTCACTGTGTAGAGGTTATCATTGTGTAGTGGTTATCATTGTGTAGAGGTTATCATTGTGTAGAGGTTATCATTGTGTAGAGGTTATCTTTGGGTGTAGTGGTTATCTTGTGTAGGGGTTATCATTGTGTAGAGGTTTTCATTGTGTAGAGGTTATATTGTGTAGTGTTTATCATTGTGTAGTGGTTTCTTTGTGTAGTAGTTAGCATTGTGTAGAGGTTATCATTGTGTAGGTTATCATTGTGTAGTGGTTATCATTGTGTAGAGGTTATCATTGTGTAGAGGTTATCATTGTGTAGAGGTTATCATTGTGTAGTGGTTTATCACTGTGTAGAGGTTATCATTGTGTAGTGGTTATCTTTGTGTAGAGGTTATCATTGTGTAGAGGTTATCATTGTGTAGAGGTTATCATTGTGTAGTGGTTATCATTGTGTAGAGGTTATCATTGTGTAGAGGTTATCATTGTGTAGAGGTTATCATTGTGTAGTGTTTATCATTGTGTAGTGGTTTCATTGTGTAGAGGTTTATCATTGTGTAGGGGTTTTATCATTGTGTATGGTTATCATTGTGTAGTGGTTATCATTGTGTAGTGGTTATCACTGTGTAGAGGTTATCATTGTGTAGAGGTTATCATTGTGTAGTGTTATCATTGTGTAGGGGTTATCATTGTGTAGTGGTTATCACTGTGTAGTGGTTATCATTGTGTAGGGGTTTTATCATTGTGTAGTGGTTATCATTGTGTAGTGGTTATCATTGTGTAGTGGTTATCACTGTGTAGAGGTTATCATTGTGTAGAGGTTATCATTGTGTAGAGGTTATCATTGTGTAGTGGTTATCATTGTGTAGTGGTTATCATTGTGTAGTGGTTATCACTGTGTAGAGGTTATATTGTGTAGAGGTTATCTTGTGTAGAGGTTTATCATTGTGTAGTGGTTATCATTGTGTAGAGGTTATCATTGTGTAGAGGTTATCATTGTGTAGAGGTTATCATTGTGTAGAGTTATCATTGTGTAGAGGTTTTTCATTGTGTAGTGGTTATCATTGTGTAGAGGTTATCATTGTGTAGTGGTTATCATTGTGTAGTGGTTATCACTGTGTAGTGGTTATCATTGTGTAGGGGTTTTATCATTGTGTAGAGGTTATCATTGTGTGTGGTTATCATTGTGTAGTGGTTATCATTGTGTAGAGGTTATCATTGTGTAGTGGTTATCATTGTGTAGAGGTTATCATTGTGTAGTGGTTATCATTGTGTAGTGGTTATCATTGTGTAGTGGTTTCATTGTTAGTAGGTTATCATGTGTAGTGGTTATCATTGTGTAGTGGTTTACCCATTGTGTAGTGGTTTTCATTGTGTAGTGGTTATCATTGTGTAGTGGTTATCATTGTGTAGGGGTTTTATCATTGTGTAGTGGTTATCATTGAGTAGTGGTTATCATTGTGTAGTTTACCTGGAGAGAGTTCCGGGGGTCAACGCCCCGCGGCCCGGTCTGTGACCAGGCCTCCTGGTGGATCAGAGCCTGATCAACCAGGCTGTTGCTGCTGGCTGCACGCAAACCCAACGTACGAGCCACAGCCCGGCTGTTCGGGAACTGACTTTAGGTGCTTGTCCAGTGCCAGCTTGAAGACTGCCAGGGGTCTGTTGGTATCCCCCTTATGTGTGCTGGGAGGCAGTTGAACAGTTCGGGCCCTGACACTTATTGTATGGTCTCTAACGTGCTAGTGACACCCTGCTTTTCATTGGGGGGATGGTGCATCGTCTGCCAAGTCTTTTGCTTTCTAGTGAGTGATTTTCGTGTGCAAGTTCGGTACTAGTTTCCCTCTAGGATTTTCCAGGTGTTTTATAATCTGTATCTCTCCCTCCGCGTTCCAGGGAATACAGGTTTAGGAACCTCAAGCGCTCCCAATAATTTTAGGTGTTTTTTCTCCGTTATGCGCGCCGTGGGAAAGTTCTCTTACTTTTCTAGGTCGGGGAATTTCACCTGCCTTGAAAGGTGCTGTTAGTGTGCAGCAATATTTCCAGCCTGATAGACAAGTGACCTGAAGAGTGTCATATGGGCTTGGCCTCCCTAGTTTTGAAGGTTCTCATTATCCATCCGTCATTTTTCTAGCAGATGCGATTTATACAAAGTTTGGTCCTTGAAGGTGATTCCTCGACATACACTCCCTGGTCTTTGAGTTGGTGTTTCGCTTTATTGTGGCCAGGAATTTGTTTTGTACTCGATGAAGATTTTAAATTTCCTCATGTTACCATATCTGAGTATTTGAAATTTCTCATCGTGAACTTCATATTGTTTACTGCAGCCACTGAAGATTTGGTTGATGTCCGACTGGAGCTTTGCAGTTGTCTGCAATGGAAGACACTGTCATGCAGATTCGGGTGTCATCTGCAAAGGAAGACACGGTGGGGGGCTGACATCCTTGGGCTATGGGCGGATTGAGGATAGGAACAAGATGGGAGGAGTACGTGCCTTGTGGAACAGAGCTTTCACCGTAGGGGGCCTCGGATTTACTCGTTGACAACTATCTCTGGTGTTGTAATGAGGAATATAGATCCATCGACCGACTTTCCTGTTATTCCTTTAGCACGCATTTTGTGCGGCATTACGCATGGTCACACTTGTCGAAGGCTTTTGCAAAGTCTGTATATATTAATCTGCATTCTTTTTTGTCCTTTAGTGCATTTAGGACCTGTCCGTAAGTGATCCAATTTGTTGAGACAGACAGGAGCGACCTGTTCAAAACCATGTTGCCCCTGGGTTGTGTAACTGATGGGTTTCTAGGAATGGGGTGGTGATCTTTCTTCTTAGGACCCTTTCAAAGATTTTTATGATATGGGATGTTACTGCTATTGGTCTGTAGTTCTTTGCTGTTGCTTTACTGCCCCCTTTGTGGAGTGGGGCTATGTCTGTTGTTTTTAGTACTGTGGGACGACCCCCGTGTCCATGCCCCTCTCCATAGGTTGGAAAAGGGTCGTGATAGGGGCTTCTTGCCCAAATTCTTTATGAACACAGAGTTCCCTGAGTCTGGCCCTGGGGCAGAGTGCAGGCATGTCATTTATCGTCTGTTCGAAGTCATTTGGGTCAGGATAACATCGGATAGGCTTGTGTTAAAACAAATTTTGTGGCTCTCTCATAAAAAAATTCATTTTGGAAACTTCGACTCTCAGTCTGGTTTTGCGGCTTGCTAAAAAAATGAGTCATATTGGGACTTTAGTAGCTCACTCATTTCCTTGCTGTCATCTGTGTAGGACCCATCTTGTTTAAGTAGGGGCCCAATACTGGACGTTTTTTCTCGATTTTGATTTGGCATAGGAGAAGAAAAACTTTGGGTTTTCTTTTGATTTCATTTTTGACTTTTAGTTCTTCCCGCGATTTTCCCGACTCCTAAAGGATTCTTTTAGCTTAAGTTCGATGCTTGCTATTTCTCTGACCAGTGTCTCCCTACGCATTTCAGAAAATATTTTACCTCTTTTAGGGCCCCTCTGTTATTCTTTTCCGTCGCCTGTAAAGGGAGCGCCTGTCTCTTTTATTTTACATCTACTCCTCCTTTTTCTTTGAGGAATAAGCCTTGTGCATACATCGAGTGCCACCGAGTTAATCTGTTCTAGGCATAAGTTGGGGTCTGTGTTGCTTAGTATATCTTCCCAGCTTATATTGGTTAGGACTTGGTTTACTTGGTCCCACTTTATGTTTTTTTTAATTGAAATTGAATTTTGGGGAATGCTCCCTCGTGACTAATCTCATTATGTCGGTCTGGGGCTCCGCGGGATACATGACTTTAACCTCAATTATGTTGTGATCTGAGTATATTGTTTTTGATATGTGACATTTTTATCAGATCATCATTGTTAGTGAAGATGAGGTCTAGTGTATTCTCCAGTCTAGTAGGCTCTATTATTTGCTGGTTTAAATTGAATTTTGTGCAGAGATTTAAAAGCTCGCGTGAGTGTGAGTTTTCACCAGAGCTGCCTCCTGGTGTTATTACTGCAACAATATTATTTGCTATATTCCTCCATTTTAGATGCCTTAAGTTGAAATCCCCCAGGAGCAAGATGTTGGGTGCAGGAGCTGGAAGATTTTCCAGACAGTGGTCAATTTTTAACAGCTGTTCCTGGAATTGCTGTGATGTTGCATCCGGAGGCTTGTAGACTACCACAATGACTAGGTTTTGGTTCCCCGACCTTTACTGCTAAAACTTCCACTACATCATTTGAGGCATTTAGCAGTTCTGTGCAAACAAGTGACTCTGCAATGTACAGGCCAACGCCCCCCCCCCCCTTTTGCCTGTTCACTCTGTCACATCAGTATAGGTTGTAACCTGGGATCCATATTTCGTTGTCCAAGTGATCCTTTATGTGGGTCTCAGTGAAAGCCGCGAACATTGAGTTTGCCTCTGCAAGCAGTCCACGGATGAAAGGTATTTTGTTGTTTGTTGCTGGCTTTAGACCCTGTATATTTGCAAAGAAGAATGTTATCGGACTGGTGGTATTGTTGGTACTGGGGAGGGGATTTTTTTTCCGGCATTAGTATCTGTATCTGTTGGTTTGGAGTGGAGGCCATCGACTGTGGTTCCACTCCAGGAATGACTGGATTTGGTGTACGGTTTCTCCAATTTCCTGCCAGTTTTTTTTTCCTTCCTGGCACTAAAAAACCTCTCCCTCTTGAGTGGCTGTGGCTACCCAGGTTTTCCCAAGGCCTGGATGTTTTGTATCTTTCTGTCCCCTGTAGATGGTATGCCTGGCAGTTTAAGTTATAGCACAGTCTTTCCTGTACTGAAGAG